TGACCGTGCGTAAGGCGTCCCGGTCCAGAAACGGCCGCAACTGGCGGATCAGGCGAACCTGATAAAACGCTCCCCTGGTCACGGCCGACAACTGGTCGTCCAGTGTCAACCGTGGATCCAGGAGAACACCCAAGTTGCGGACCCGATCTGAGGGGGCCAAAGTTTCGCCCCCTATAGTCAGCGATGGAATCAGCTGACTTTTGCACATGGCGGTGGAGGCCTAAAGCGAAAAGGTTTTATAAAACCCAGCTGAAGGCCTAGGACTGGGGTGACGGCGCGCGTGCCCACAGAGAGGGCTCTGAGTGCCACCTCTGGCACCTGTGCCATAGGTTCACCACCACTGCCCTATAAGCTCCACAGAACCTTAACTATCTGCTCCCAAAGGAAGGCAAGCAAGATTCCTGTATTATATAGGCAGAATACAATAAAGTAGTTAGCCTGAACTCTATCCATGTGGATCTAATTGCTTGCACCTGACAGGTATTGCTGGCAGTGCACTTATGAGCTATGTGCTTTTGGAAGAGAAACAGCATCCACCAGAGAGACATGAATGTATCCTCATCCATGAAATAGTGTCTAGACAGCTATCACTATATCCCGGAGGCTTGCCAAGACCGTGGAACATAATTTACTAAAATATGAACTCTTCATAATACTAACCTGACAACAAGGAGAGGCTGCTAGAATGTCGTAAGTATACATGGTTCCCAGCTGATGCCAGCTTCCATCCCATCGAGATTTGCACTTTATGCAGATAATTTTATGAACCCCTTCTAAACAGTCTACACAAACAGCATATAGGTGCATAAGCCTTCCTGTGGAGAGAGATTTGTAAAAACAGATTATATCAAATGTATCACAGAATTAACACATTAACAACATTGTGAATGGCGTTTTTATTGGAAAATGCAAGAAATGAAGCATGCATTCAGCAACCATTAGCCATCTTCTGTGCAAATACCATTAAAGGGGAAAGTCTATTTTATTCAGAATTACATTTCTAACTTCAAATGCAAATTATTCTTTCATTATTAGTTTAATCTAATGCTGACAGTCCACAGTCAATCGATACTAGTTAGCTTCTAAATAGAGTGTTGTTGGAGTTTAGATTGTAAAATTTAATCTTTAAAAATTCAAAATTGATTTTTAATTAAACTACAAATTAACTGTACTAAAACTAACACATGATTAGGTATGAGCAGCTCATTTGTCACATCAGAATGAACAAGACAAGCATTCCAATTTTCAGTTCAACTAAGAAGCTTAACAAATAACTTTAGAGAATTACTATTGCATTGCAGAGTTACTCTCAGCTGCATATCACATGCTTCAGAGAGGGGATGAGCTCTATGCTACTTTAAATTCATAATAGATGTTTGCTTCATGTGCAAAGCAAAAGTAGAACCCACAGGTTAATTAGGCATCTCCATATATTTAATTTCCTTCCAGTTATTATTTCATAAACATCTACAGTGTTTATACATTTGAATAAAAGTCACATATATCTTTTTTTGGCAAAAGAATATATCACACAAATTCTTTATGCAGAGAAGTCAGGAAAAACAGATTCTTCTCAACAGGAAATGCAGGCTTTTTCAAACCACAAAGTCCTTGCTCTAACTCAGTTTCATGAAAGAGTTCAAACTGCTACATGAATACATTTGCACACTGCATAAATATAGAAAAGATTCCAGTATGAAAGCAGGAAGGTAGAATTGTACCTATAGTAATTGTGCTTAACTCATAATATACAATATAGGAAAACAAACATCCTATGTATCTGTTTAGGAGAAGCTCTCCATTTCATGCATCTTTTCACCTGAAAAAATATCAGAAAATATGAAATAACTGTCTCATCAGAGATCGATACTGGCTGGCCCAATTTAGATACTAATCTGGATCTTATATGGTGCTAATCCATAGTTTAGTTATTATTGGACCAAATCACAGTTCACAGGTTATGTCAAAGTTTACAAACTGATTGGATTAATAAAACAAACAAATGTATAGGTATATTGTATGTTTTGTTTGGTTTTAGCATAATATTGTGTGAGCCAAACATTATTCTAATCCTTATAACAGTGGTTCTCAACCTGTGGGTTGGGACCCCATTTGGGGTCGATCGACCATTTCACGGGGGTCGCCAAGCAAGGCTGTCCGCCATTTTTTTGTCCGCCATTTTTCCCCCTTTTCCGGCGGGTGCCTTACCTCCCTTGGGCTGGGCCAGCTGGTGGTCGGCCTGCTCTGTCTCTGCTGCTTGCCAGCTACGCCTCGGCCGGCGCAGGGGGCGGAACCACGCATGCACGGCGCTCCCGGGCAGGGAAAATCCTCGACTTACGACTGGTTGGGTAGTCCTCGACTTACGACCAGTTTAGTCCTCGACTTACGACCGGTTTAGTCCTCGACTTACGACTGGTTTAGTCCTCGACTTACGACCGGTTTAGTCCTTGACTTACGACCGGTTGGGGTCGCGGCATTAAAAAGGTTGAGAACCACTGCCTTATAGGATGACTAAGAACAAGCTCATTATCCTTTCCCCTGGTTTATAAATCATCTCATCTATTTTTAACTTACAATAATTGTTTATTGATTAAGCAATAGTAAATACTAATTTCCAAGCTAATTTTCAAAACTCTTTAAACTTCTTATTCCTTAACCCAGTTTATTCTCAACCCAGTTTCATGTGTGGAATGGAGGCAGGAATCACATGGAAGGATAATGCAATGTGAGCCTATAGTATTTTTGTACCCTTCAAACTATGATTTGTAACTACCTGATAGGGGAATTAGGTATCATTCTCCTCTGCCCAACAGCTGGGATCACCTACCTGTATAACCATTTAGCATGACTATATTCCAGTTCTTCATCTATTCTTACTCCTGTAATTTTTGCTTCTCTCCCTGCTAGATAAGTTGAGAAATAATTTTACAGACTCTCCCCTTATTTGTATATATACAAATTTATGTATTTATAAATTCATGTAGTTGTATATATAAAGCATTTGTAATTCATTTGGGAAATTTCCTCAGGCCTTATTATTTTGCTTTTAAATTAAATTTCCCACGTTTAAGAGGGATCAGAATGGCTTCTTTAAATTCATACTGAGAAAGGATAGGGCTGCTAGATCTGGAGAGCAAGCAGTCAGATTACCACTAGACCAGGGGTAGGCAACCTTGGCTCTTTTATGACTCGTGGACTTCAACTCCCAGAATTCCTGAGCCAGCCATAAAAGAGCTAAGGTTGCCTACCCCTGCACTAGACAAAAACAAAGAGGGTAACATCCCAATTATATCTCCCAATTTTTGCAGTTCAGAACCAGTAGCATTAAATTATGCTCAAATGGGAATTTTTAAAGGATTCTTTAAGAATATGCAACTAAAGCCTCTAAATACCCAGAAGCCCCCAAATCCATATTTAAGCAACCTCAGGGTGATAAAATGAAAGACAGGAAATAAAGGTAGTCCCCGATTTACAATCATTCATTCCACGTTACAATGGCACTGAAAAAGTGACTTATGATTGGTCCTCACACTTAAGACCACTGCAGCATCCCAATGGTCACATGATCAACCTGTGGGTGTTTCGCAACCTGCATGAATTTATGACCGTTGCAGTGTCCAAGGGTCATTAGATCACCATTTGCAAAGTTTCCAGCTGCAAATCAAGGACTACCTCTATCCAAACGCATTAATCTAACATCCAAAATATGTTTCTTGTAAGCAAATGCAAAAGGAGATAATTTAGAATACTGAAGAAATACAAAGATTTTCCCCCAGCACATTTTTTCTGCGTAAATTCCAAAGTTGTGCCAGTAAATGTAAGCACATTATGGATCAGAAACATTGGCCGCTGACAAAAAGAAAACAAAACAAGTTGAATTACCTACAGCACTTTTTTACACAATTTCTCTGCTACACACATATTCTTTGCTAAAAGTATATTTCTTCCGCCAAGTTATTTTCACACAGAAGGGACAGTTGAAATTTTATTAAGCTTTTATTTATGGCCTGTTGTACTTATACTAGCCTTCATCAATCTGAGCATCCTCACATTGTATGAACATTTCCATGCAAACATTTTTCAGCAATAGCCTTCCTGTCTGGGAATACAGAAATCCACACATTTGAGAATAATGCACAGCATGGAAAAGGCTAATGTAGACTGCCTTCCAAAAATGCAAGATATTAATAGACATTATAGACTTCAGTTATACAACTTAAGAAATGGCCAATAAATTTAATAAATAAATAAACAAATGAAACAAAAATAAAAGCAACCTGTACCTTGAAGGTGACAGGGAACATCATACTCAATTTCATCATGTCTTGATGGGCTAAGAAACAAGGTTCCATCCACCAGTGGAAACTGTTCAAATACAGGCAATGCTCTATGGCATAACGCACAGTTGACAACATTTCGGTGACTGGCACTGAGTGCTGCAAGAATGAATTTCCGTAAATCTTCTCCTTGACCCACTTGGGCATCATCCTCCATACGGACATGGAAAGTGTTCAATTTATGCCTAGGTATGTGAGCAAGGAGTTCAGATAGATCAAGCCTTCTCAAAAATTGTACTGGAGCATCAAAATGTCCCGATCTATGTGCTTGTAATCCAGATGTCCCATAATCAAAGTGAGCATTCCTAAACATACCACTATTGGCCATATTCTTTCTATGAGGTTCTAAATGAATGGCATTCTTCAAAAATTCTCCTAAGTATCGCGAAGAGCGGGGGCCACTGAAATGGGTGGGGGCAAGAACAGAATAACCTGCTGGGGGAGATTGCCCAGGAGAACCGCAGGGAGAACGGACTGCATAACTACTGCTAGTAGTGCCTTTCTCTTGAGAGTTTTGCCTGTCCATTGAATGCCGTCGTTGGAGATCATGGTTTAAACCCTTCAGTGGTTTATTAGCAGACCTGCACTTTTTAAGATCTTCTGAAGACTCCGATATTGATCGTCCACTGCTTTTTTCAGGCACAGATTTTTTCTTCTTTTCGTCTTGCATTCGTTTTACTTGGTACCAATCTGTGTCTTTTTTTAAATGGCCTTGCCCACATCGACATGAACAAAAACGGAAGGCAAGATCATATCCTTTCTTGGTCCACATATTTTGCCGACACTGTTTCTCGTTCCAACTCCTTGCTCTCCCAATGCAATTAAATTGAGCCAAAATGCTGCTCTCCCATTCGTAAAAACACTGAAGATGCATCCAAGTGCTGAAGGGACAATGCTCGTTGTTGCAAACAACTTTCTGGTAGTCATCTTTTTCTAGGTCAACGGCCCGTCCAAAACTACACAACAGTGGTGTAGCACAAGGTGCTTCTGTGGAATGCAGAAGAAATAAGATGGATGAGCTATATGATTCAAAATTAACTACTTGCAATCTTTATTTTAGTTTTTTACTATATAAGAACTATGCTAAGCTACAATCCAGGAGTTCTAAGCACATATGCAGTTCTATGTACATTTAAACTATGCTGTGAACTGAGATTCCATATGTCACTAGTATTTTCCTTTATAAATGATCAGAGTAAGCCTAATGGATTGACCCTTTATTTGATTGTTCACAACATCTAAAAACTTTAGAAGACACCAAGGCATACTGTATGATTCAGTACATTTTGTTTAAACGACAAAGTTTGAATTCATGTCATGTTTATTTGTTTAGCTTATTACTTATAACATGGGTTAGACATCTTACTACAACATTTTCAGAACAAATTATAACTAGAATATATATTGAACTGTTTTTATTTAACAGCAATAAAGTATTTAACATATTGTTGCCTAGATATGTTTTTAAAACAATAGTATAGATCTGCACTTATTTCTAGTAATTGCAAGTTTGTAGTATTTTTCAGTATCAAGCCAAAAATTAGTTACCTGTGACATTAATTTAATATTAATATTAATATACTATGAAGAAGGTATTGTTGTGATGTGGATGACTCAAAGAATATTAATCTGCATTTATTTAAGGCAAGTCTGCCAACATGTAAACATCTTTCAAAACTGCATTTCTTAAAAAAAAATGATTCCAGAGTCAAAAATTCAAATGGTCTTTGTTATGTTTGATTTCAATAATTGTTATGGTTGAGAAATACACTTTTTGATTAACAACGATTTCTAACTCCAAAGCCTTAGTAGATTAGCTTTCAGGAATTTAAATCTTCTGATATGGAGAAAGAGATATTTTTAGAGAGAATGATAGAAATTAGGCTATAAATAGGGCTAAATATATAGCCCTAATATTTGAAAGCATAATCAATTCTTCCAAACTCCAAAACAAGAACACAACATTTGAAATCCCACAACAACCATTTTAAGAAAGCACAGATTTCTGTAACAATATGTGACAACCAGAGCAATAAAATGAGAATCAATTATCCACGTATATTTGGAATGTTTTGATTGGAAAACCCATATTTTCTTTTTTCATACTTAATTGCTAGTGAATTCTATAACATAATTACCAAGAATAATCACCCACACAAATTATTGTGGGGCATATGAATCTAAACTAATAATAAATCCCATTTTCATATGTTTTTAACTAGAAATAAAGATGATCCTCTCCACACTGAAACAATCATTAATAAATACATTAAAAAATAGTGGTAGAAGAATAAAATCTTATTTGATAATAACTGGAATATTGTCAGAGACTGGACCGTTATATTAAAATCTCATTTATATATTATTAATTATTATTATTATTATTATTATTATTATTAGAATAGAATTTTATATTAAGATCAAACGATACTGACCCACACTGGAGTTATTTAAGTTAATCAAAGTTAACTGCCATCAGTGAAGTCAACCAAGCAACATAATTTTTTTTATTTTATATTCACATATAGTAACCCTCTGAGCCAATGTGAAACAATGATCAAATGAAGAACATTCAAGTCTAAAATGAGTTTTTCTTTCAAAATACCATTTTGGACAACCATTCTCCAACTTGAAGCAATAAATGCTTTGCGGTTCATTTAGCAGTTACACATATAAAATTGGTCTATAATTAAATGGACAATTATGATTCTTTTTATTAAAAATTGGAAGAATACAATATTTGTATTTTACCCTTTAAAAAGCTAGCCAGATGAATTAAGGTATTTTAAATCCTTAGAATGATTAATCTGCCATACAGAATTAACATGTTTAGCCAGACAACTGCCTATTTTAATGATTAAAATTAAAATTAATTGCTTGTAAAATAAGGTATCCCATTTATAGAATTAACTGATTCTCATCTGCTCTCTCATGCATAAACTATTCACAAAAAGAAACATACAATGTACAAGCTTCCAGAAGAACAGTATAAATGGGAAAGGAAAGAAGAAAAACGGTATGGAAATGTGGAAGGGGAAAAGTAACACTACAGGAAGGGAAAAGGAAAGGATGGAAAATGAATTAAGATAAGGAGCAAGAAAGAGGCAACCAGACAGAAAAGAGGGAAAAAATGGAAACCCTAGATCCAGCATTTGAACACGTAAGAAACCAGACCATTGGAACGACCAATCAAGGGAACCAATCAGCTTCTCAATTTAAATACAGCACCAAATGAACAGCCAATCACGTGACCAACTGACCACTGAAGACATATATAAGCTAAAGAGGAATAGGACAAGACACTTCCACAAAACTCCCGCTGATGATGTTACCTAGCCTTTGGGAACTAAATGGCAAGCTCAGAGAGCAAACCACTGCCAAAATCTAAAACCCGAACTACCAGTATTTTCTATTATTTCAAAATGGAAACCCTGCTTAGACTTACAGACACATTTTTAAAGGCAGGTAATCTACAATCATTCACACTTTCTCTCCATTCCTGCTACTTTCTCTTTCTTGTCATAAATCTATGGAACACTTAAATACCAGCACAGTAACAAAACTTTTCCTGGAGGCTTAGTAACAGGGGAGTTATTAATACGTTTCTTTGGGGGGGGGAACCCTAAAGTCAAGAGTTAGTGCTTCCAATATCCATTATCAGCAGGAATATCTGACCTGAAGAAATAAACTAAAACAAATAAATATCCTCATTTCAAACTGCATGCTTCCCTTTCTTATTCAGACACATCCAAAGAAAAGAACTCCTGGGAAGGGCTGCATCTCTTTATTTTCCTGTTAAATTGCTATGTCCTGGTTTACTTAAATGAAAATCATCCTGCCATCAGTACCTTAGAGTGTCACTGATCCATGAAGAATGCAACTCTTTGTTATATACCCAGATTAAAGAACTAGAGGGAAATTTAAAGAGTACAAAAAAAAGTCAATGGAAAAAAAATTAACCATGATTTTTGAAGAATGAATAAATGAACATCATGATGTTTTTGACTCATTTGTTTAATGGGATTCTCTTTATCGGGTTTTAGGATTTGTGTGGACTACAAATCATATTTTTGGGTTCTATTTATGCAGAAATATTGAAAATTCAACAGAGTTCACAAATGTTTAAGAAACACTGTAATTATAAAGTAATTCCAATTGCAGCATACCATTGAAAGAAAATGTGACAATTATTGGAACTTTTGTCCAATATATTTTGAGGACTGCAGAATAAGGAATAGTCTTTTAAGTGTTCAGTTTGCAACTATTGGCTATCAACATAAACTAAGTGCGTACTTTTCAAATAAATGCAATAGCTCATGTTCAATTCTATAAATTGTCATTTTGTTTTATTTATTCATCATATTTATATAGCTGCCCATATCACAATCAAGTGACTCTGGGTGGCATGTAATAAAGTTAAAAACAAAATATACAAATTAATATTAACATTGTTAATATTAAAAATTTAAAAGTATAGAAGGCTCAAAAACTTCAATAGTTGTTAAAATCAGTTGGAATTATTATATTCCTAAAATTTACTAAAGGACATAAGTATTACCTGGTAGTAGCCTACTTGTTTCTTAGTCTCCAGCCCTTGTTTCTCCATAATCTGTACTTATATAGATTATAACAGCAAAACCCCATTTCACTAATATCGTAATTTTGACAAATATCAAAAATTCCCCATTCTATTACTTTGACAGGAACAGAAGCAGATTGACTTCATTTGTTTACCCCTATACAAAACTGGCCATCTATCAGATAAATACTGTAATATGGCTTATGATCACACTCAATATATGATCCATGAATAATCACAAAGCAGGAAATGAATGTTAAAGAACAACATTAAACTGCAGCAAAAGGAAAGGGGAAAGACTAAAAAGTAGCCCAGCCATACACCACAAAAAGAGAAATTAATAGATATTCAGAGACTTATTACATAAATCATTTCTGAAAAGTAACATTTGGGAACATGCAGCTCTAGTAACCAGAAACTCAAATCAAATCTATATATAGCTGTCACTCACTGAAACACAAAATTCCCACAAAAATGGCAAATGAATAATGATGGCTAGAGGTATAATTAAGTAAAGCACACTGAAGAACTTAACACAGCATAGTTTTGGTGAATAAACTGGTATTTTTTTTCAAAACACTGTTATTATAACCAAGCCCACTTCAACTAGCATAACTTCATTATATCACTCAGTAAAAATGGGCTGGAACTTGCCTTAGAATCTGAAAGAAAATTAGATATCCTTGAAAGGATAATTTATCTGAAAACGTTTAAATTAGAAGAGTTCGCAAATAGCTTATTAAAAGACTCTTTAAAAGGGCTTATAGATAGTTCTTGACTTATGACCGCAATTGGAACCAGAATCTGTTGTTGAATGAAGGAGTGAGACATCACATGACCACTTCGCTTAACAACTGCAATCCCGGCACTCCAGATTGCGGTCATTAAGCAATCTCGTGGGTTATTAAGCAAATAGAGTCCCAGGTAAAACAGGCAGGTGCCTCAGGGAGTTGGAGAAGGCACTGGGAGGCCTAGTCCAGGCTGTACATGAAATGAGGGGGTGCCATAGCTGCTTCTTAAAGCCTTAGCCCCAGCCCAACCTTGTGTGTGCGCTCAGCGGTGTCGGCATCGAGGCTAGGCCTGAAGGCAAGGCTGAGGTCTTCAGCAGTCTCAGCCATCTGCCATTGACCCCAGACCTCAACTTCAGCCCCAGCACTGCTGCTGTCACTGAAAAATGCTGCCCAATTCCCATGCCTGCTGATCTTACCGCCCCCTTTATAGGCTGACCAATATAGAGGCACTTGGTGGCAACGTAGAGGCTGGGCTTGGAGGAGAGGCCTGGGCCTTCAGCAGTGTCAGCCACTGCCACTGCCCCCAGAGCCAAGAGCTAAAGCCAAATATTTTAATCTACTTGTCTCTCCCATTTTCAGGGAGAATTAAAACTTTTCTTCTCTCTCTTCTCTGCCAT